ATGGGGATTAAGGAGTGCACATATGTTGCACTCCAGGCGATGTATAGAATTGTTGAATCATACTGTACACCTGAAACTAATATAACTATGTTAACTGGAATTAAAATAAAACTTTAAGAAAAAGCACTCATCAAATTGTTAAACAGCATTCTCATAAAAATGAACATGTTAAAAAATTACAATATACACGTGTATTATAGAAAGATGTATAGAACATATGAAGTGACAAAAATAGGATTCCAAACAAAGTTATAGTATGATCCTAGTTTTGTAAATATGTTTATTCATATTAATAGGGATGGGAGAAAATCTAGAAGGATAAAAGTCAAAATGGGGTTGTATCATAGTAGTGATATTAGATGCATATATTTCTAAAACCATTGTATTTTCTATTTTTTTTTCTGTGGGAATATGTTGATTTTATAAGAAATAAATGAATATACATGTTATTTCCCTAAAGGCTATCGAATAGCTCAGGGAAGACATGATCAGTTTGAATCCAGGACAGGTGCAAGGTGATAGAGGGTATAGAGAGAGGGGGACCAATTTTTCTGACAGGAAGATTTTGGAAACCAGTTGGGTATACAGTTGACCCTTGAACAATGCAGGGGTTAGGGGTTCCAATGCTCATTGCAGTTGGAAATCCATGTATAACTTTTGACTCCCCAGAAACTTAACTACTAGACCAGAAGCGTCAACGACAACATAAACCATTGATTAACCCGTATTTTGTATGTTACATGTATTATATACTGTGTTCTTACAACAAAGTAAGCTGGAGAAAAGGAAATCATAAGAGAGGTGTGCCTGGGTGGCTCAGCCAGTTAAGCATCTGACTTTGGCTCAGGTCATGATCTTGTCCTGGGATGGAGTCCCGAGTTGCACTCCTCTGCCTCTCCCCCTGCCTCGTGCACACTCTGTCTCTCTGTCTCAAATAAATAAATCTTTAAAAGGGGGGGCACCAGGGTGGGTGGGTTAAGCGTCTGCCTTCGGCTCAGATCATGATCCTGGGGTCCTGGAATCAAGCCCCCCATTGGACTCCCTGCTCAATGGGGAGTCTGCTTCTCTCTTGCCCTCTGCCCCTCCCCTGGCTCATGCTCTCCTGCTCTCTCTCTCTCTCTCTCTCAAATAATAAATGAAATCTCTTAAAAAATAAATAAAAATTTAAAGAAGAAAATCATAAGAGAAAATACCTTTATAATACTGTATTTGTTGAAAAAAATCTGCATGTAAGTGCCCCCCCTCCCCCCAGTTTAAACCAGTGTTGGTCAAGAGTCAAATGTACTTGTGCAGCGCAAAGGGGGAGGAGCTCAGAGTTTTAATTAAGACATTAGGCCTGTTCAGCTTGATAAGAAATGCAGGAGGAAAGGCTGCGGTGGAGTGAGGAGCGGTATAATTATCCTTTCCCTTGGCTTCTCGAAGTCCTCTGTTTATATCCTTGTTGCGCAACATTTTTACCACCAGTGTTCTTTGGCACACTTACTAGTGGCTGTTTCTGTCTCCCCAGATGGCCGAATCCCCGACCGATCCACTGTTTGGATCCTCAGCAAGGAGCAGTCACTAGATTTGAGATGGTGGTACTGACACAGTCCTCCGCTCAAGTAATGCTAGCAATACTAGCTTTCTGTGGGAGCTCATCTCGTGCGCTGGATACTGAACTAAGAGCTTTATGTGTATTAGACCATATAATTAGACCACTGTCACCCTAAGAGGTAGAATTATTAATTTAACATTTAACAGATAAAGAAACGAAGTCACAGAGAAGTAAAAGTAAGATACCCAAGATCACACAGCAAGATCATACATCTCTTAATCACGATGTCTCTATAATCCTCTGATTCTTGCACAACTTCTGAGTTTAATGCGGCAGGAGATTCGAATCCCATTTTTTTTAAAGATTTTATTTATTTATTTATTTGACAGAGAGAGACACAGCGAGAGCAGGAACACAAGCAGGGGGAGTGGGAGAGGGAGAAGCAGGCTTCCCGCAAGCAGGGAGCCTGACGTGGGGCTCGATCCCAGGACCGTGGGATCATGACCTGAGCTGAAGGCAGACGCTTCACCGACTGAGCCACCCAGGCACCTCTCCAATCCCATTTGAAAGATAAGGAAAGTAAGGCCCAGAGAGGTCCTGGACTTCATGTCCAAGGTTACATGAAGGGGACAGTTATAGAAGTGAGTTTGAGTAAGAATAAGATAGACACACGGCAACGTGGATGGATCTTAAAAAATCGTACAGAAGGGGGTGCCTGGCTGGCTCAATCAGAACAGCATGCAATCTTGATCTCTCGGGGTCATGGGTTCGAGCCCCACATTGGATGTACAGATTACTTAAAAAAAAAAAAAGCTTTAAAAAAGTTTTAAAAAGATAGTGCTGAATGAAAAAGTTAACAAATATGTATTCATATATATATATATAACCCTTTGTGTAAACATGCACTGTATACTACACATTTTTCAAAATGTATACAAGCCAAAAAACTACACACGAAGCACATTAGGGTGGTTGCCTTAGGATGAGGGGTAGGAGTGAGCTACGATGCTGAATCAGTCGGCTCCGGCTGCCGTAACAAAATACCACAGGCTGGGAGTCTTAAACAACAGACATTGATTTTCTCATAGTTCTGGAGACTGGAAGTCCAAGCTAAAGGTGCCAGCAGGGCTGGTTTCTGGTCTCCTTGGGTCGCAGACAGCTACCTTCTCACTGTGGCCTCACGTGGTCACGTGGCCTTTCCTCTGTGCCTGGGCTGAGATCATGGGTGTCTCTTCTTATAAGGACACCAGACCTATTGGATCAGGGTTCCACCCTTATGACTTCATTTAACCTCAATTACCTTCTTAAAGGCCCTATTTCCAAATATAGTCACATTGAGGGTTAGAGCTCCAGCACATGAATTTGGCAGGGAGGGGTGGGGAGACACAGCTGAGTCCGCAACAGGGGCTAACAGGGAAATAATAAATAGAACCACAAGCAGTGGAGAAAGAAAATGAGGTGGAGCAGTAGGTGCAATCCAGATCCAGCAGGGCCTTACAGGCCATAGTAGGAAGACTAGCTTTAGAGGCCTGGAGAGGTGACTCAGGTCATAAAGGCTAAAGTCAGGGTTTGTGCATATAGCTGATTTGACTCCAAAGCTCATGTCATCTGGAACTACTCGAGTCCTGATAACCAAGTGGAAATGTGTGTATTTCATTTTACCATGAGGAAAATGGAGTTTAGAGAGGTCCAATGACTCGCCCAAGGTCCCGTAGTAAGTGGGAGAACTGAGGTTTGCAGAGCTTTCTGCCTCCAGAGCAAGGCTCCTTTTACATGTTCTGCTAGCCTTGGGCCCTGACCAACTTCATTCACTCATTACCTCATGCACGCATTCATCTAGTATATTATTTATTGGCACCTGCTTTGCAGCAGGCCTTGGCAAGACACTGAAGATATAGAAATGAAGAGGACATGGTCCATGACCTCAGAAAGCTCAGCCGGTAGAGAAGATAGCCAGATAAATAAATGCAAGCATTGGGGAGAGGTCTGTGGAAGGGGTTAGAGAGTTTGGAGGAGGGAAAATGACTGTGCCTGGGGTAGTTGGGCAAGATTTCCTAGAGGAGGAAGAAGAGATCTTTGAATCAAACCCTTGAAGGATCTGGAAGAGCAAAAGGAAAAGCTCAATGTGGGGGCGCCTGGGTGGCTCAGTCGTTGGGCATCTGCCTTCCGCACAGGTCATGGTCCCAGGGTCCTGGGATCGAGTCCCGCGTCGGGCTCCCTGCTCGGCGGGAAGCCTGCTTCTCCCTTTCCCACTCCCCCTGCTTGTGTTCCCTCTCTCGCTGTGTCTCTCTCTGTCGAATAAAAAGATAAATAAATAAGTAAAATCTTAAAAAAAATAAAAAGCTCAATGTGGGCAGAGTGAAGGATGTGGGCATTCTCCAAGGAGGAGTGAGGGATGGGTGATGAGGCCAGATGTGGAAGGCTCTGGCTGCCAGGCCAGAGCTCAGACTTAATTCTGAAGTTACTGGGAAGTCCCTGAAGGGGCTAGAGCAGGGGACTGCCTTGGCCAGGATTCTAAAGGAAGGTCTCTCTGGCAGTGATGTCCAAAGACTTGAAGTCCTTTCAAGAATCAATTGCATGAAGTAGTGCCTGGGTGGCTCAGTGGTTAAGTGTCTGCCTTTAGCTCAGGTCATGATCTTAGGGTCCTGGGATCAAGCCCCAAGGTGAGCTCCCTGCTCAGCTGGGAGTCTGCTCCTCTCTCTCCCTCTGTCCCTCTCCTTTCCCCCCTCCCCGTTTTCCCCCTCCTCCCCTACTCATGTGCCAAATGCTCTCTCTCTCTCTCTCTCTCCCCCAAATGAATAAATAAAATCTTAAAAAAAAAAAAAAAGGAATCAATTGCATGAAAAAAAAGAAAAAGAATCAGTTGCATGAGCTGGTAAGGAAAATTAATGGCCCCTTCCACCCCTAATCCTGTTATGATTTTTGGTCCACTTAGACCCTGGGAACTTTTTTTTTTTAACCATCCCAGTCAAAGCCTTCGTCTCACTTGCTAGAGACGCCAATCTGCTTCCTTCCTCTCTGCCTACACCCCATCTACCCGGGTGATGGGGCTACAGTGGGGGCATGGAATAAGGGTGTGCAGAGAACTGAGGTATTGAAGCTTCCCATGGGGGGGATAGCCAAAGGGCTCCAGGAAATGAGAACTCCAGGTATTCTTGGTCTTGGGTTTCCCCACCAGTTCGAGCATCTCAGCTTCCTACATTGCCCGCCCCCTTATTTGCCACACCAACTTCCTGCCCCACCAGAGGAAGTGGGGAGAGACAGCAGGTGCAGCGACAGCTAGCAGGGCCATGGTGAGTCCTTCTGCCCCAGAATACAGACATCTCTGCCCTCAGCCCCCAACCCCCAGAGTAGCCAGGTTCAGGTCAACCCACAGCAGGCTGACTTCTCCTCGCCCACAAGGTCAGGTTATCCTGGGGGCCCAGCCCGCCGCTCCCAGCAGCCTCACACTGTCCCCCACCAACAGGACAAGGAGTATGTGGGTTTCGCCGCCCTCCCCAACCAGCTGCACCGCAAGTCCGTCAAGAAGGGCTTTGACTTCACACTCATGGTGGCAGGTCCGATGGGTTTTGGACAGGGGACTGGTTGGGGGAGGCTTCCTCCAGATACCCTGGCTGTCTCCTCACCTGACCAGGTGGGTCTGTCCTGCCTACAGGGGAGTCAGGCCTGGGAAAATCCACCCTCATCAACAGCCTGTTTCTCACCAATCTCTATGAGGACCGGCAACTGCCAGAAGCCAGTGGTAAGACCCTCCTGACCTCTCCAGGGACTCTGTCTCTCCCATCCCCAGGCTGCACTCTCTTTCTTTTCATCTGGGTCTCCCCTGACTTTCTGGGGGACTTGGGTGGCTCACTGCTTTTCTCTGAGACTCCCCTGAAAAATGAGTGGGGGTAACTGTGATTCTGAGAAAGGAAATCAGTCCTGGCTCAGACCCCTACCCAGCTCCCTGACCTCTCCCCATCCCCACAGCTCGCTTGACACAAACGCTGACCATTGAGCGCCGGGGCGTGGAGATCGAGGAGGGGGGTATTAAGGTGAAGCTGACCCTGGTGGACACACCTGGCTTTGGGGACTCCGTGGATTGCTCAGACTGGTGAGGAGCAGGGGAAGGAGCGGGGACTAAGCTTCCCAATGTGGCTACTCTATGAAGACTGAGGGGTCAGTTCCAGGGCTGGTCTGCTCTGCCCCTGCCCTCCCCAGAAGGTGGGGCCTGTTTCTGGTGGCCATGTGGCCCAGAGTGCCCTGTGCTTCCTGACATCTGACCTAAACCCCGCCAATCTCCTTTGATGTCTTTGGTTGGACCCCAAGAAGCTAGTTCCTACCCCCACAGTCCTGGCTAACCTTGGCCCCTTCCCTGCCCTGTGGCCCCTCACCTCTGACCTACTCTCTTGCCCCACACCCCAGCTGGCTGCCTGTGGTGCACTTCATCGAGGAGCAATTTGAGCAGTATCTGAGGGATGAGAGTGGCCTGAACCGGAAGAACATTCAGGATTCCCGTGTCCACTGCTGCCTCTATTTCATCTCACCCTTTGGCCGAGGGTCTGGGGACACCCTGGGGGGTTGGGGTATTTGGGGAGGGAGAGGGAGGGTTTCTGTGGCCTAAGGCTGAGCCCTGACCAATCACTCTGTGCAGGCTCCGGCCCCTAGATGTGGCCTTCCTCCGGGCAGTGCACGAAAAGGTCAACATCATCCCAGTCATTGGCAAAGCAGATGCCCTGATGCCTAAGGAAACCCAGGCCCTCAAGCAGAAGGTATGTCTGGTGACCTCTGATCTTTGGTCCTATGTGAAGCCAGAAGTCATTATCAAACCTGAACTCAGCTTTGACTTCTTTGATCTTGGGATCGCCTTTTGGAAGTATAATGTGTCAAGAGACATTGTGGGAGAAAGTTTCTGAGGAAGGTGGGTAGTAAGCTGGCTGAAAGGAGCCATGTCTCCGGAGGCCCAGAATAGAATCCCTGGACTGGATGCTTGGCTGAGGCCTGTCTGAGAGCTGCAACAAAGGCATGATGACTCTTGATATCCCTCCAGCCCCAGGATGTTGACCCACCTCGTGACTTCAGAGGCCTCTCCCACTGTTTATGCTTAGGCCTCTCTCTCCTGGGCCTCTGGTGTCTGCTTCATTTTACAATCTTTCCAGGCCTCAGTCGTCCCTGTTAGGGTGTCTTTGTCTCTTTTTCACCATCTATATCTCTCATCGTCTGAGGGTTTTTTTTTTAAGATTATTTATTTTTAAATTTTTATTTATTTTTTAAGTAGGCTCCACGCGCAGCGCGGAGTCCAACACAGGGGCTTGAACTCACAACCCTGAGATCAAGACGTGAGCTAAAATCAAGTTGGATGCTTAACCCACACTGAGCCACCCAGGCGCCCCAAGATTTTAAGCAATCTCTACACCCACTGTGGGGCTCAAACTCACAACCCCAAGATCAAGAGTCACATGCTCTACTGACTGAGCCAGCCAGGCGCCCCTCTGAGATTTTGGTTTGGGGCATCCTGTATGTTACCATCTCTGTCTTTCATGTCTTCCTCTCTGTCTCTGACCACCTGGAACCTGTATCTCAGTGTCCAGCCATGCAGTGTCTGCTAGGCACAGCCTCTGTTTCTCACCGCCTGTGCATGTCTGCTCCCAGATCCGGGACCAGTTGAAAGAGGAGGAGATCAACATCTACCAGTTCCCCGACTGTGACTCTGATGAGGATGAAGACTTCAAGAGGCAGGATGCAGAGATGAAGGTGCAGAGGCAAAGGAGGAAGGGGCAAAGAAGCGGGGGAGGCGGATGAGGAGGTGGAGGCTGACAATGAGGTTTCTGCCCAGGGGGGTCCAACGGTGACCTCTGACTCCTGCCCTCCAGGAAAGCATCCCTTTCGCAGTCGTTGGCTCCTGCGAGGTCGTGAGGGACGGTGGGACACGACCCGTGAGGGGACGCCGCTACTCTTGGGGTACCGTGGAGGGTGAGTAAGGTGGGCATGCGTTCTGAGGCCAACAGGGAGCCCAGAATGCCTCTGAGTCAACCGCACCCAATATATGAAGTTGGGGCGATCTCTCGTCCCGGGGGTCCTAAGGGCCAAAAGAGGGGTCCTTGGACTGCAGACCCTCACCTAGAGCCGGGGCAGGACTCCGGGCCGACTGGACCCGGCCAGTAGGGCTGGACCCGAAGCTCCCTGACGCTCGCCGGTCCGCCCCTCAGTGGAGAACCCACATCACTGCGACTTCCTGAACCTGAGACGGATGCTGGTGCAAACACACCTGCAGGACCTGAAGGAGGTGACCCACGATCTGCTCTACGAGGGCTACCGAGCCCGCTGCCTACAGAGCCTGGCCCGGCCTGGGGCTCGTGATCGAGCCAGCCGTAGGTGAGAGCCCGACCTGAGTCCCAGGGGCTCCCAAGGCCCGGCCTCACTGTCCCGGACCCGACCTTCACCATCCAGACGACTCTTCCAGAATCTCCCCCCACCCACTTTGCTTACGGCATTGAAAGGACATATGGCCCTGCCTCCTAGACCCCAACGTCGCCCCACGCCCTGCCCCGCTTCTGCGACCCACAACGGAGGGTCCCGCCCTTGATTCCCTGCCCCTTTTCCCATGCCCCCTAGTAAGCTCTCCCGCCAGAGCGCCACAGAGATCCCGCTGCCCATGCTGCCTCTGGCCGAGACCGAGAAGTTGATCCGCGAGAAAGATGAAGAGGTGAGCAAGTACCTCGCTCCCCCTCCTCCCCCCAAGGCCCCAAGTGCTCTTCGAAGTCCCTCTCTGGCCTCCCCGATCCCACGCCTACAATCTTGCCCCGCACAGCTGCGCCGCATGCAAGAGATGCTGGAGAAGATGCAGGCCCAGATGCAGCAGAGCCAGACTCAGGGAGAGCAGTAGGACGCACTCTGAGGACCCCGCATCGCCCTCCTTTACCTCGGCTCCGCCTTCAGTCGGCCTCCTATCCAATCCTGGAGCCCCAGCCTGAGAGGCCCGCCCCCGCAGGGGGGGCTCACCGGCTAACAGGTTCTCCCAATCCCAAATCTGTGGCCCCGCCTCTGGCCCCGCCCCCACCCGGCCCCGCCCCAGCTTCCAGCCCCGCCCCTGGCCCCCACCCCCGCCGCTCTTCACCCAAGCTGTGACTTCAATAAAAACAGTGTCAGGGGGCGCCTGGGTGGCTCAGTTGGTTAAGCGACTGCCTTCGGCTCAGGTCATGATCCCAGGGTCCTGGGATCGAGTCCTGCATCGGGCTCCCTGCTCTGCGGGGAGCCTGCTTCTCCCTCTCCCACTCCCCCTGCTTGTGTTCCCTCTCTCGCTGTGTCTCTCTCTGTCAAATAAATAAATAAAATCTTAAAAACAAACAAACAAACAAAAAAAACAGTGTCAGGGCTCCTGGGTGGCTCAGTCGGTTAAAGTGTGGGACTCTTGATTTCGGCTCAGGTCATGATCTCAGGGTCTGGGATTTAGCGGCCTTGGGCTCCCTGTTCAGTGGGGAGTCGGCTAGACATTTTCTCTCTCTCCCCCTCCCTCTGAACCTCCCGTTGCTCGCGCGCTCGCTGTCTCAAATAAATAAATGGGTAAATCTTAAATAATAATAATAATAAAAAACAGTTTCCCCGAGGCCACGCGAGTCTTCCTTTCCCGGCGGGAGTAAGTGGCGGGTGTAGCTGGTGGAACGAAACCGCCCCACCCAGACCTCCCAGCCACTAATTACTCATTCATTTGTTGGGCGCTGGCTTCGTGCCGGGCTGTGTTTCAGCCCCGCGCCCCACCTGAGTTCCTCTCCCACAAACGCACCGAAGGCGCCGCCGCTAAGAAACAACGACCAATTTAGTTTTATTAGAGTCTGGTGGGGGGTCGGACTGGCAGCAAGGCGTTGACCAGCAGAGGCCTAAGAGGGTGGGTCCCCTACTCCTGGTCCTTGGCATCGCCATGCGTGATGACGTAGCAGATGTTCTTGTAGTCTACGTTGCCTCCCACGTCGGGGGGGAAGGCTGCCCACATGTTCCTGATCTGGGGAAAGATTCAGGGGCGTCTCCTACCGGTTCCGTATGCTCCCCTTCCCCCTCCCTCTGCTTCTCCCGGACACACACACACACACACACACACACACACACACACACACACACCCCACCCCACCCCCACCCCCGCTCACCTCTTCCTGGGAGAAGCGGTCACACTGCGTGGTAAGCAGCTCCTCCAGGCTGGAGAGAGGTGACATATGGGGAGTTGAGATTGGGCTTCGTGGTTCCTTTCCACTCCCTCCCACCTCATCCTGGTTGCCATTCCTAGTATCAACTTGAAAACCCAAGTCACTCTAGATCCCTCTCTGGTCTCCCAATCAGTCTGGCCTCACTGCTTTTGCTCTTCCCTTCCCATATGTGCTGTGAAAATGTAATCCTATAGCCCATTTCCACAGTGCTAATTTTTCCCTTATCCCCTCCCTTAATACCTAACCTTTGCTAAAAATTTAAGGAGGCCTGGACACCTGGGTTGTCAGCTAAGCAGCTGCCTTTGGCCCAGGTCATGATCCCGGGGTTCTGGGATTGAGCCCTTCTCTTCTTCTGGTTGTCTGGTCGCTGCTTCTCCCTCTCCCTCTGCACCCCGCCCTCCCATAAATAAAATCTTTAAAAAAAAAAAAAAGAATTTAAGGAGGCTTTCTCTGTGTGAGCAGCTGGAGAGGGTCACTTACAACTGTTTCTTGATGGTGCCCTTCCCCTCAGGGTCCAGGACCTTGAAGGCTCCAGTGATCACGTCCTCAGGGTCAGCACCTGGAGGATCAGAAGGCACATGAAGCTAAAGGGTCCCTGAAGGGTCTGTCTCTGAAAGGTCTGGGGAGGGGCAGCTGGGGGCTTAGACTCAGGACACTTCATTCACCTTTGAGCTTCTCTCCAAACATGGTCAGGAAGACGGTGAAGTTGATGGGACCACTGGCTTCCTTCATCATGGCATCTAGCTCCTCATTCTTCACATTGAGGCGCCCTGGAGCAGGGTGGGGAAAGCTGGAGTGGGGTCCTGTGGCCAAGGGTTGATCCTTCCCATAAATTCAGACCATCCCACCCATTTTCGTCTGGGTGGACTGAGGCCCAGGGTGGAGCCGGCAGGGCTGAAACCCAAGGCTTCTGAATTCCCAGGACTCTGTAGCCTTGAATCTTTATGGGTGGGATAAGGGGCTCACCCATGGCTGCGAAGGTGTCCCGCAGATCTTCCTTGTCGATAATGCCATCACGGTTCTGGTCGATTACCGTGAAGGCCTGTGGAAGGCAGGGGTGGGGGGGGGTTAGTTCCCCCATGGCCAGGCTTCAGCATCCCTACCCCAGGCAGATCAGATTCTGGCCCCCGGCCAGCTGTTCTCTTGCATGCCAAATGGGGAGGGGAGCAACGAGTTCTAAGCCCTTCCCCTCCCCCCAAACAGGTGCACATTCCAGGGAGGGGGTGTTGGGGGGGAGGGGCGGCAGGGGGGGGCCTTTGGTTAGTCTTCAGTCTCCCTTCTCCCCTTACTCACCTCCTTGAACTCCTGGATCTGAGTCTGGTCAAACATGGAGAAGACGTTGGAGCTTCCGCCCTCTGCCACTGCCCTTCTCTTGGCCTTCTTGGGTGCCTGGGAGTTGAGGGATGGGTAAAGGGGTCCATGGGCCAATCCCTCCTCTTCTCTGGAGGCAATGGATTAGATTCAGGGTTCTTTGAGTCATTTTTCTAAAGCAACTCTTCTGGTTCTAGGCTTTCCCCTCCTTATGAGCTCTTTGCTGAAGGGACTTGCTTTGGTTGCATCCCCAAATTCCTACCCTCCATTCTACTGAACAAGTCGAGTCCCCTTCTCAGTGCCCTGAGCTTGCCTCCTCTGAGTCCCAGACTTGCTGTGTGACCCTGATCTACTCATTCACCCTGTCTGAACCTCAGCTGTCCCATTTATAAAATGGGAGTTGGAATCCTTGCCTGATTGGTCCCAGAGGGTTTTAGGAAGAGGGAGTGCAGGAAGGTATGGAGCATGCTTTGAGAGGGATGGGTCTCCTGTGAGTGGAGTCTGGGCAGACTGGGTTGGGTCATTTAGGCCATCGTTCTGTACGCTCCTCATTAGCAATGCCAAGAAAGGGAAGATTCATCTGTTTCCTCTTACTGGACTGGGAATCAGGTACTTTCTTTTAAAAAGTGAGGCTGCCTTGAGGTCTGAGGGACCTGGGTAGGGGCTGGGGGATTCTTACTCACCATGTCTTCAGTCTCCTGGGGGCAAGGCAGTGGCTCTGGCTGGAAAGGAGCAGAGTCAGCCTGTGGCGGTCCCTCTGGGGTTATATAGTCCTGCCCCAGGGAGCCCTCAACATACCAGGGTAACCTTAGCCCTGTGGGTGCCCACCCCAGATACCAAAATAGCCCGGCTCAGGGCCCCTCCTTTCTTGGAGGCCGGCAGCAGCTGGAGCCCAGGGAGGGAGGAGGGAGTGGGTCTTGGGATGCATGTCTCACTAGGACCTGGGCAGGAAGGGATGTTCTCTTTCCCAAAAGGGGGCTCGAATGTGCCAGAGTTCAGAGAGGACCCAAACTGAGGCATTGTACTGGGAGAAAGATAAACCAGGCCCCTGTACCCCTGAGTGGGGTGGGTCCAGATTTATTATTTATTTTAAAAACATTCCTTATTTTGAAATTAACATTTTTATGTTTTTATTTATTTGTATTTTTTTTAAGATTTTTTATTTTTAAGTAATCTCTACACCCAACGTGGGGCTCAAACTTACAACCCAGAAATCAAGAGTTGCATGCTCTACCAACTGAGCCAGCCAGGCGCCCCTCCAGATTTAAGGCCAGTAAAATTATTGAGCACTTACAGTATGCCAGGCACTGGGCTCTGCCTCATGGGTGCCCCCTGGCAAGCATAGTCCCCCACTCCCATTGTGGAGTTCACAGTCAAGTATATGTATGTTTGTGGGGGTAGTGGCAGAGTCGAAAGGGAGACAGCTGTCTGAGAAGCTGAAGAATCAAGAAGGTCTTCTACGACCCCTTTGGTGGGGGCAGGGAGGATGTTTCAAGAAAAGATGCCAAGCATAGAATGACCAGGTAGAAAGAGGCTAGGGACGCCTGGGTGGCTCAGTTGGTTAAGCGGCTGCCTTTGGCCCAGGTCATGATCCCAGGGTCCTGGGATCGAGTCCCACATCGGGCTCCTTGCTCGGCGGGGAGCCTGCTTCTTCCCCTCTCCCCCTATGCTTGTGTTCTCTCTGTCAAATAAATAATAAAATCTTTAAAAAAAAAAAAAAAAGAAAGAAAGAGGCTAGACAGCCTGGAGCAGAAAGCCTGCTCTGTGATCTTGCACTTTGTGCTTTAACTCCCTGGGCCTTGTTTTCCCCATCCCACAGAACTTGTGGATATGAACACTATTTGGAAACAGTTTAGTGAAATATAAGCATTACAATTAATATTTATGCCTTGCCTTGGTGGACTTACAGCCTAGCTCTGGAGACAGGATAAAGGCAGAAAATGTCATAACAGCTGATTAGAAGCACAAAAGTAGAGCATAGCAGCCCTGTGTGGGACTATGGGGATGACTTTATGAAGGCCAGGAAAAGTAAGTCAGGTGAAAGTGGAGGGGCAGACAAGCTAAGCATAGAGCACAGATGGACAAAGGCCTGGAGAAGTGAAAAATCAGGTTGTCAGAATGGTGATGGGGCTGGAGCAGAGGGTGCAGGCTGGAGACCAGAAATTGGAGGGTCTTCCATGCCAGGCTGAGGATTGAGACCTTGGGAGCCTTGGAAAAGTTTGAAACAGGAGAACATAATCTAATGTGAGTCCATAATCATTTCTTTGGATCCTATTGTGAAAGTTGGAACTCAGAGGAGGGGGGTCCAAATACCAAGAGGGAAGCTAGTTGGTCACCTCCTCCCGGTGGCTGGGATGGCCAGTGGCTCCTTTCTTCATTCTGGGCAAGAACCAGTTTGGCTGACTATGTGACTTTGAGGTACCCTCTCCTAGGGAAATAGTGGCTGAGGAAGCCCCAGGAGGCCAAGGTTGGCAAGGACACACATCTCCTCCTTCTCTTGCTCCCTCTAGGACCCGATGTCCTGAGGAAGGTGACTCTTCCCTTTGCCCTCCTCCAGTCTCATGCCAATGCCTCTAAGACATTTTCTTTTCTGGGCACTGGGGCCCAGCCACCTGTTGTCTCTAAGAAGAGAGAAGGAGCCACCCTAAACTTAGCAGCTGCCCTTGGCCTCCTACACTGGCCCCTCCCTGCCTCAATGGACAGCTGCCTCACCTTATACGGTTACCATGGGGGTCTAGGCCCAGGGAGGAGCCCACTTAATCCGGGGTTCTGGGAGGGGACAAAAACTCCAAAGAGGGCAAGGGGGAAAGTGCTCAGGTAGCTGGGGTCAAATGGAAAGTGGGGAAATTGAGGAGAAGGAGATCAGGAGCTGTGTATCTAACTCAGACACTGACTGGGAATACACAGGATCTGGGTCTGAGCTGGGAACGAGTAGCCTAAGAGAACTCAGAAACCAAGGAGGACCTGGGACATTGGGAGCTAGGCCTGACTGAAATTTCAGGATGGTGGATTCTGTATGGAAGTTGGGGCCCTCTAACCCTGAGGCTCAAAGGGATGGGGGTCAGAGAGAGATGGGACTCCTAAAGTCAGGGCTTTGTGTTTGTGATCTATGGTAGCCTGGGGGCTCATGAGATTGGGGTCTGCTTTCTTAGCAGAAAATGAGGAGTACAGAGAGGTGTGGCAGTGATGGGAGAGGAGTTGATGGGACAGGTCCTGGATCCCCCAAAGAATAAGAACACAGATATGGGAGTTCATGTTACTGGGAATTCATGGTTTGGGGTCTAGGATACCCACTAGAATGGGGGGGGCACTCAGAGGATGAGGTCCAAGGAATTAGAGCCTGGATTCTGGGGAGGAGATGAGATAGATGGGGGAGGGGAGGTGTTGAGAAGGACTTAGGGCTTGGGATTCCCATAGGAAATGGAGGATCCAGGGAGATGGGTCACTTAGAGGATTTGGGGGCTCTGGTAATAGTCGTCGGGTTTTTGAGTGTTGAGGTTGGTTGCGGGTCGGAATGAAAATTAGAGACAGAGTGGAGGTTGAGAGTACTTGATCAGGGCACTGGATCTGTGGTGGGGTCTTACAGACCACCAGAGTGAGGCGGCTCTGGATGGAGAAGGGGAGCCCAGGGGGCCCTTGGCTGGCTTAGTCGGTGGGGCATGCGGCTCTCCATCTCAGGGTCGTGAGTTCAAGCCCCACCTTGGCTGTGGAGCCTACTTAAGAGAGAGAGAGAGAGAGAGAGGGAATGGCAGCCCTAAAAGGACTCAAGCAAAGCAGCGCGGCGCTCTTATTGGCTAAGGACTGCTCTAATGTCCCTGGCCCCCGCCCCCTCTCGGCGCTGTCCCCAACTGTCACCCCCTCCTGCGCTTGTCTCCGGTTGTCACCGATATCCCTGGGCTGGCACCGCCTGCTGGCAGCTCCCCTACCCTTTGGATGCTGCCATTGGCTGAGACAGCCGTCTATCTCCCTTCCTGTCGCTAAAGTGTGGGAATACGCTCATTGGCTGACAATGCAAATTAATAGCAATTCTGGCCCGCGGCCCCTCCCCCCCCCCCCCCCCCCCCGCCCAGCTGTCATTCTTTCTTGACCTTCTTGGGAGACCTAAAGAATTCCTCAGCATTTCCTATTGACTGCGGAGGCTGTCTGTCACCGCCCAAAGGGACACCACTGTCTGTCAACTTGACCTCCGCCTACTCCCCTTTTTCATTGGCTCCCTTTTTACTGTTTCCATTGGCCAGGCTCGCCTCTTCTCGCGCAGCACCCGCCTTCTTCCGCGGTCATTCACTCCCCAGCCATTTTTACTGGCCAGGAGGTTCAGCTTCCCGCTTTTCTATTAGTTATCTCTTTCGTTCCACCTCCTCCTGCCTTCACTCACCCCCTCATTGGTCTTATAGCCCTCCGCCTTCTCCATTTCCTCTTTCCAAATTACCCAGCCCCTTCCCACCTCCAACCCCACCCACCCTTCCAACGATTGGCAGAAACCCAGTTCCCTCTCTCCTATTATTCGTCCAAACACTCTGACAAGGCGGGAGAAAAAAAAGGAGCGCGATGGGACTGCCCGCGCGCAGGCGTGAAACGCTGAAACGCTGGCCGCTTAGCCGGCACTGGGGCATGTGCGCAGGCGCGAGGGCGGCCGCTCGCCTGAAGCAGGAGGGAGGGGGAGGCGGTGAGAGAGCGCAAGGGGTGAGAGGGCGCGAGCGGGACCCCCGCGCCTGGCGCCCCGGGACCCCTGCCACGCCTCCGCGCGCCGGGCGGCGGCCCGCGCGCCGCCCCCGTCCCCGACGCGCGCCGGGCCGCGCCCTTAGCCTTTCCCCTTCCTTGGCGGGCGGCGCGGAGCGGCCTGAGGGGCGGCGCCTTCTGCGGCCGCCCCGGCGGGGGGATGTGAGGGGAGGCCCGCGGCCATGGAGACGGGCCCGGCGCCCCTGGTGGCCCCGCCGCGCCGTCATGGCGCCCCCGCGGCCCCCTCGCCGCCGCCCCGCGGCTCCCGGGCCGGACCCGTCGTGGTGGTGGCTCCGGGGCCGCCAGTGACCACGGCCACTTCGGCCCCGGTCACCCTGGTGGTCCCCGGGGAGGCGCAGCCCGCCTGGGTACCGGGGCCCACCCAGACCTCGGCCCCGGCCCCGGCCCCGACCGTCTCGAGCAGCACAGTGGTGGTGCTGACGCTGGAGGCCTCATCCGAAGCCGCGAGGGCGCAGGTCTCCGCTGGCTCAGAACCCCTGGTGCCCGCGGCAGTGGCAGGAGCCGAGATGTCCATGGCTTTGGGCCCGGGGGCAGACTCTCCGAAGACGGAGGAGGCTAGAGCCTCCCCCACCCCTGGACCAGGTACCCCCACCGGGACCCCCACCAGGACCCCTTCCAGAACGGCTCCTGGGGCTCTGACCGCCAAACCCCCGCTTGCCCCCAAGCCGGGAACCACAGTTGCCTCAGGAGTGACTGCGCGGGTTGCAGCAGTGACAGCAGGACAGGTGACAAGTGGACATGGAGCTGCAGCAGCAACATCAGCATCAACTGCACAGGCTCTAGAGGACCCCTCAGGGCCTGGCCCAGGGCCTTCAGGGACATGTGAGGCTCTCGTAGCTGTCGTGACGGTCACCCCAGCCCCGGAGCCTGCTGAAAATTCTCAGGACCTAGGCTCCACGTCCAGCCTGGGACCCGGCATCTCTGGGCCTCGAGGGCAGGCCCCGGACACTCTGAGCTACTTGGACTCCGTAAGCCTCATGTCTGGGACCTTGGAGTCCTTGGCAGATGATGTGAGCTCCATGGGCTCAGACTCGGAGATAAATGGGCTGGCCCTGCGCAAGACGGACAAGTATGGCTTCCTTGGGGGCAGCCAGTATTCGGGCAGTCTGTGAGTACCCAGTGGGCACCCAGTGGGACTGCTTCAGGGAAGCAGAGGTTGGGGAGGAGGAAATGATACATCTTGCCCAGACTCTGGCAGCCGAGGCTCCAGGGGAATGGCTCCAGCAGGAGTGAGATACTTGGTGATCCCTATCATGCCTAGAGCATCCTGAGGTTTTGGTGGCACTTGCCTGTTAGGGTTTCAGACCGGGTGTCAGTTCTGGGTCTGAGCTTTGCTTTTAGTGTGTTGTGTGCCCTTGAGCTAGTGTCTTCCCTATTTCTGTGCCTCAGTTTCCTTCTCCATAAAGTGAAAGGTTGAATGACATGATACCTAAGGTCGTCCCAGGTCCTTGATGTGAAACTCCAGCTGTGGGCCAGATATTCTGGAAGGCTGGCTGGGCAGGGGTTCTGGTAGAGATCTTTGGTCCCTGAGGGGGAAGGAGTCTGGGAGGGATGCAGGCGTTTCCCTTCCCCCATAGCCCTAGGTCTGATGGGGCAGTGAGATGGGGAAGTCTGGTTGATGGAGGGGAGACCCTGAAGGCAAGGCTCCCCTGCAAAACAGAAGGGCAGTCTTGTGTTCTTACTGAAGGAAAGGGTTGGAGGAGGCCTCTTCCCCATTTCCTCAACTCCCCAGCCCGGCTTACTCTTTCCTAGTTCCCTCCAGGGGCCTGAGTCACTCCTGATGTAGGGGTGTGATTGCCTCTGACTTCTTCCTTCCCTCTCTCTGGATCCTGCTCATTGTTCCTGTACCTCTTTAACCTGCTGGTCAGTTTAACCTACAGCATCACCTGAGCACCCAGGTGCCAGATCCTGTGCTGGATAAAATAGTTGTTTCAAGGCGCTCATCATCTGGAGGGAGAAACAAATACTTCAAGAGTTGGTTTCAATATAAGGTTTAGCCTAGAGATCATCACAGGATTTTGTGAGCACCTAGGGAAGGGATCTTTTTGCCCACTCAGAAGCCAGCTGAGGCTGGTCCAAATGCTGACTAAATGTAGGATTTAGTTGTGTATGTGCGTGTTGGGGTTGGGGGCACCTGTCTGGGTTGGGGGAAACACTTGGGAGGATATTCTAAGCATGTTTTATAATCCAACAAAAACCAGAAAACCTTTGATTGAGCACCGACATTCATGGTCTTAGGAAGGCAACTGAAGTTTGACCTTGGTGTTTTCCCATGCACGGAGGAAGCATTGTACCCAATTTATAGGTGAAGAAACAGGATTGAAGCAGTTGAGTGATTGCCCCACTCACATCTGGATCTGTGTGACAGGCTTTCTCAATACCATGCTGCCCTAAGGAACTTGGATTGAATTAGATTTTAGTGAGCCCCTCTAGTGTGCCAGGCACCGTGCTGGTTGCTATTTCTATGCTTTGTAATTTTGTCCCTCTAAAATCTATCTTCTGTGCTGGAGGAATATACTTCTGAGGCAAGACTGACTGGGGCACATGTTACCTTAAAAGCTTGTAGAGGCTCCCCACTGGCCACAGGATGAAGTCCCAAGTGCTTTATTCTGCAGATAGGCTCCTTGGTATCTGGCTTTGCCAGCCTTTCTGGTGTTCTCTCTCACCACTCCTAACCATGTACTTAGTACTGTGGTCCTGTTGAACGGATTGTAGTCTTTCCACCTTGCTACGCAGGCTTTCCCACCTGCCAGGAATGCCTTTCTCCCCCTTCTTGTCTTAGTATGTTCTACTCAGTCCTTCATGGCTTATAACTCAGATATCTCCTCCTCCAGGAAGCCTTTTCCGATATCCACTGCCCCTACTCCAGTCGGTGCCTCTTCTGTGCATTTTTATCATTGCATTTCCCATACCACATTGCAATTATCTCCCCTGCAAGCTTGTGACCTTCTTGAGGGCAGGAAAGATATTATCTTATTCTTCCTGATCCTTAGTAGAGTTTCGTACTGACTTAGATAGAAACTAATGAGAGGTGTTTAAGGGGCTTCTAAGACAAAAGAAACTAATATTTAAAGAGCCCTTCCATTTACCAGTCCTTTATATAGTTTCTCGGTAGTCCTCTCATAACTTTGTGATGTAGGTGGTGACATCCCTTTTTTATAGAAGAGGAAGAGACTCAGGTTATTACTTGCCAAGTTTCCCCAACTTCTAATGGATGGAACTGGGATTTGAGCTCAGGTCTGTCTGGAAACTCAAGCTCTTTCTTCCACTCACCTCCTAGTACTGGCTCCTACAAGTAACTGTTTGAAGACTCAAGGGGGCATCTTGAGTGTGAGGCTGTGACAGAACAGTGACCAAACAGTGCAAGGAAAACTTCATTTGCTTGGGAACCTAGGGTGATTTCAGGGAGGAGGAGGTAGAGGGGATTGCAGATGGCCCAGGAGATCTCAAGAGTCTGATAGGAGGAGACTCAGATAGTTGCTTCTAAGGAGGCAGAGAAATATATTTGTTCTGTATTTTCTTTTATGGATAATAATTGCCAATACTGAGCACTTGCTGTTTGTTCTCTCCTATAACCTCTGCATCTTACAAATGTGGAAATTGAGGCTCAGAGGAATTCAGTGACTTGCCCAAGGTCACACAGTGAGTAAGTGGTAAAGCTAGAACTTGGACCCAGGTCTAATGCAAAGTGTGGTTTTTAAATATTCTGTACGCTCTCCCCAAATTTGTATGTGCCATAAGCAGGATTTCAACACACCCAGCATGTATAGAGATCCAACATGAGAACACAATCTGTACAGAGATTCCTTCCAAAGAGGAGTCATTTCAGTGTGGTAAGCTAGACTGTGGATGGCTAAGCGGCCAGATGTCCTGATATTTGGTAGCTCACAGTCTCTCATTTGAAATTGGGGAGGTGGCTTGCTTCAGTTCCGCCAGCAATCCATGTTTTACACTACCACTCCTGACCCCTTCCATGCTCCCTTCATCCTGCAGAGAAAGCTCCATTCCTGTAGATGTGGCTCGGCAGCGGGAGCTCAAATGGCTGGAGATGTTCAGTAACTGGGATAAGTGGCTGTCACGGCGTTTCCAGAAGGTTTGGAAGGCTGAGTGGTGGGCAGGGTGATGGACAGGTTGGGAAGGGGGCAGGGAGGGCTCATGTGGTCCAGGGAAGCCATGTTAGTATTTGCTCTCTAGGCCACACTTGGGGCAGGTGGTCCTTGGGCCTGGAGGGAGGAGTAGCTTTAAAGATAGAAGGCCAAGCCAGGTCCAGTGGAGTCAAGCCAGTGGAATGTGTGAGGGGTGTGCCAGGAAGCCCGAGGACTGCTGGGGAAAGCCTGGAGGCTCTGCCAGCCCCTGGAGCTGCTGCCCTGCCTGCCGTTCTGTCTTAGGTGAAGCTGCGCTGCCGGAAGGGGATCCCCTCTTCCCTCAGAGCCAAGGCCTGGCAGTACCTGTCCAATAGCAAGGAACTCCTGGAGCAGAACCCCGGCAAGTTTGAGGTGTGTCCAGGGTATGGGGATGTGACGTGGTGTGAAGGGTATCATCAGTCCCCTCCAGATCCTGAGCTAATCCCTGCTGTCCCACTGCAGGAGCTGGAACGGGCGCCTGGGGACCCCAAGTGGCTGGATGTGATTGAGAAGGACCTGCACCGCCAGTTCCCTTTCCATGAGATGTTTGCCGCTCGAGGGGGGCATGGGTGAGATGGCCTGACCGCGTGGGTCAGTCAGCAAACATTGGTAGAAGGCTCCAGGTGGATACAGGGCTGGGTAGAAAGCAGTTCTTGCTCTCCAGGGCTTCTAGGAGAGGGGCCGGCCCTTCATGGACTGAGTGCCAAGCCATGTTGAAGGAAGTGTCCTGGGAGGGAGATTCTGACTTGGGGCTGGGGGGCTTCTGGAGGGGGTGCAGGAGGCACAACGACGTATCGAAGAGATCGCATCTGAACTGGGTTTTGAAGGATAGATGGGAACAGAGCAGGGGGCAGGGTTTTCCTGGCCGGGGGTTTATGTAAGCTCTGTCTGGGATGTGCGATTGGGTAGAGCTGAGGCTGGAGAAGCAAGTTTAGGGCCAGATCACCAAAGGCCCTTAAAAACTGTTCCCAGGCACTTGTGCTTTTGTTCTGTTTGCTAGGCTTCCCCAAGATGTATATATATCAGTCCTTCGTAACATGCAGGATGGTATTAGGTGGCTCTCAGGTGGACTTTTTTCCATCAGTTGGTTCATCTTTTCCGCAAACACTTAACACCTGCTATCTGCCAGGCACTGGTCTAGCCACAGATGACAGCAGTTAACAAGAGACAAAAACTCCTGCCCTTACGGGGCTTATTCCATTTTAGTGGGGATAGACAATACATAAATAAGACAAAGAAGGAAAAAGTATGTTGCATGTGAAATGATATGAAAGAGGAGTTTAAAGCAAGAAAGGGGAATAGAGAATGCAAACGGAGATGGGGTTACAAGTGATCTGATCTGATTTGTGTTTTGAAAGGATCGTCTTGGCTGCTGTGCTGAGAATAGACTATAAGGAGACAAGGACAGAAGCAGAGAGACCCTTTAGGAGACCATTTCCATGATCCAGGAGAGAGACCATGACAGATAGACCAGATTGGTAGCCATGGAACTATGGGGAGAAGTGGTTGGGTTCTGGGTATATTCTGAAGGTAGAGCCAAAAGGATCTGCCAACAGATTAGATGTGGAGTGTGTGAGAGAGAGGGAGAGAGAGTGAGCACAATTAAGGCTGACTCTAAAGGTTTTGGGCCTGAGAAACTAGAAAAATGGAATTGTTATATACTGATGTGGATGGGCAAAATGGGGATAAAGAAGTTAGAGGGGTACATCAGGAGCTCAGTTTTGGAATATGAGGTTTGAAATGCTAACTGGATGTCCAGATGGAGATGTCAGGTAAGTTGAATGTACGCTATATGCAAGCCTGGAATTTGGGGAGAAGTTTAAAGTGAGGGTAAGCTGGAGATTGAGAGTTGTCAGCCTCTAGACGGGACTCACCTATGGGACTGGATGAGATCATCAAAGCAGCAAGTGTAGATACAAAAGGAAGCTCAAAGATTGAGCCGTGTTGCTCCAACATTTCAAGAATGGAAAGATGAGAACAAACCAGCAAGGGAGACTAGAAGCAGAAGCTGGAGAGGTAGAAGGAAAACCAGGGCAGTGCGGTTTCTGGAAGCAAATTAAAGAGGGGTTTCAGGACCAGCTGTATGAAATACTGCTGATGGGTCAAGTAAAGTCAAGTCTGCAGATTGACCTCGGGACTCAGCACAGTGGCAGTCATTGGTGACCTTGATAAGGGCAGTTTTGCACGGGGCAGTCGGTTAAAGCCTGACTGCAGAATGGGAGGAAAGAGCTTGATGACAGTGAGTCTGTACCCTGAAGTTTTTGCTGAGTAGGTAAGGAGAGAAATGGTGTTTGGAGGGGAAAGGGGGGTGGTGGTCAAGAGACTTTTTTTTTAAGCAAGAGGAAATAACAGATGTTGGTATGCCAATGGGGATGATCTAGTAGGGAGAGAAAAACTGATGATGCAGGAGAGGTGGGAGGCTTGCTGGGGTGATGGCCCGTGTAGGTAAGAGTGGATGGAGTGCAGTGCCCAAGTGGAAGGGCTGTGTTTGGCCAGGACCACAGACATTTCACCCACAGCAACAGGGGAGAAAGCAGGGACACATGCCGGTAGGTAGGTGAATGAAGCATGGGAGCTTGTGGGAATTACATGTTTATTTTAATAGGTATTAGGTAAAATAACTAGTGCATCCAACCGGTCATTTCATGGATGCTGTTGCAAAGTGGAGAAAAAAGATTAAGTGAAAAATAGCAGGGAGGTATGCAGATAAAGCACAAATGAAGATCACACTTCAGTGACTGAATTTTGGGATAGAGGAGGTCATTTTTACTTTTTTTCTGGGTAAGAAATGAAGGTCTGAGCTACGGAATGGCTGTGGAGGCAGAGAGAAGGAACAGATATGAATGAAAATCAAGAGGTAGTGTTGAGAAGATTTGGTTTCAGCCACGGGGAGTGAAGTAGGGCTCTCTTTTCCAGTGTGGGGCTGACTGAATGGGATTCCCAGACACGGTGATGGGGTGCCCTCAAGAAAGAGGAGCAGGTCTAGGGCAGAGGTTTTATTCTTTTAGATGCAGAGACAAGAGAAAGGTTTGAGGCACAGCTGGCTTTCCAAGCCTTCACTGAGGCTTCCAAGAACCAGGGCCCACTGGACATGGTGACGGGGACCTGATTCAATCCAGTGAGGCAGATGAGGGGAGCCCTGCCCTGGGAGAGCCCCTGCTCTGAGGTACTGAAAGCATTCAGTGCGACAGGAGGGCTGATGCTGCGGGCAGTGAAAGCTCCCCGAAGAAGGTGACTTTGAAGGTCTATGGGATGGTGGCAGATGAAGGAGAGAGAGCACAGCCTGTGCGGGGGAATGGGTAAGGAGCAGGTGGGGTGTGCAGGCAAGGGTGGAAGGCTGAAGCCTGGAGTGCTTTGCTTATGGTCGGAGTCTTTGGCTTCACCTTGATGGGCAGCACTAGGAACGCCAGTGGAGGTGTGTGGTGGGGAAGCTCTGAGGTTAATCTGGAACTGGACCTGGGAGGGGTCTGGACTGGGGCTGGTTGGGGGGAGCAGGCTTAGTTTGGGGCAGAGAGCCCCCACCTCCGCTGGTTGCCCGCATGGTCTTTCCCAATACCCACAGGCAACAGGACCTGTACCGAATCCTGAAGGCCTACACGATCTACCGGCCCGATGAGGGCTACTGCCAGGCCCAGGCCCCAGTGGCCGCCGTGCTGCTCATGCACATGCCTGCTGAGGTCAGCATACCCTGGTCCTGGCTGGGGAGGCCTGGGAGGACCTTGGCCTACGGTGGTGATGGGGGAGCACTCTACTCCCGGTTTCTCAGGTCCCGTCCCCCCGCCCCTTGTTCTTGCCCTCCTCAGCAAGCTTTCTGGTGCCTGGTGCAGATCTGCGACAAGTACCTCCCCGGTTACTACAGTGCAGGGCTGGTGAGTGTCTGAAGGCTGGGTGCACCCAAGGCTGCAGGGAGGGCCTTGTCCTGCCCCACCTGCTGCCCTTTTGTCCCTCTGCTCTGGGCCTCTCCCACTGAGGTGAGGACCCCTCCTAGGGACAGTGCTACCCCACGGGGGCCACCGTAGGCCTCCTCTCACGGCCTCTCCCGCCTGCAGGAGGCCATTCAGCTGGACGGAGAAATCTTTTTCGCGCTGCTGCGCCGGGCCTCCCCCCTGGCGCACCGTCACCTGCGGCGGCAGCGCATTGACCCCGTGCTCTACATGACCGAGTGGTTCATGTGCATCTTCGCCCGCACCCTGCCCTGGGCGTCAGTGCTGCGCGTCTGGGATATGTTCTTCTGTGAAGGTACTTCTGGAGCCACTCAGGCCATGAGGGGTCTGGGGTTTCCACGGTGGCTGCCAGAGAGGGGCCTGCTGCCGAAGGTACGTCTGAGGCCTAGGCTTCCCTGTCCGCCGTCCGGGGGCTGGAGAAACTGGGGCCTGGTCTTGGCTCTGCCATCATTCCGGAGCCTCCTCTCCCTCCCAGGAGCCTGAAACCCACGGCAGCTCATTTCCCTCCGTGGGGCCTCCGTTTCCTCATCCGTGAGGATGGCAGTAAGACAGGGATAGGGCGCGTGAGTCCCTTCTAAATGGGACGGGCTGAGAGCCCAGCCCTGATCTCCCGTGCTGCCTTTTCCGTGTCCTTCAGGCGTCAAGATCATCTTCCGGGTGGCCCTGGTGCTGCTGCGGCACACGCTGGGCTCGGTGGAGAAGCTGCGCTCCTGCCAGGGCATGTACGAGACCATGGAGCAGCTGCGCAACCTGCCCCCGCAGTGCATGCAGGAGGACTTCCTGGTGCATGAGGTAGGCCGCGGCCTGAGTCCGCCCGCACCTGCTTCAGCGCGTCCCCGCCCTCCCCTTCACCCTCCCCGTTCCTTCTCGGTCTAGGTGACCACCCTTCCGGTGACAGAAGCACTGATTGAGCGAGAGAACACGGCCCAGCTCAAGAAGTGGCGGGAAACCCGGGGGGAGCTGCAGTATCGGCCCTCTCGGCGACTGCATGGCTCCCGGGCCATCCATGAGGAGCGGCGGCGGCAGCAGCCACCCCTGGGCCCCTCCTCCAGCCTTCTTAGCCTCCCTGGCCTCAAGAGCCGAGGTTCCCGGGCAGCCGGGGGGGCCCCCTCTCCACCCCCTCCTGCCCGCAGGGCCAGCGCTGGGCCTGCCCCAGGGCCTGTGGTCACCGCTGAGGGACTGCATCCATCCCTTCCTTCACCTACTGGCAACAGCACCCCACTGGGTCCCAGCAAGGAGACTCGAAAGCAGGAGAAGGAGCGGCAGAAACAGGAAAAGGAACGTGAGAAGGAACGGCAGAAACAGGAGAAAGAACGGGAAAAGCAGGAGAAGGAGCGGCAGAAGTGGGAAAAAGAGCAGGAGAAAGAGCGGCAGAAGCAGGAAAAGAAGGCCCAAGGCAGGAAGCTCTCGCTGCGTCGAAAGGCAGATGGGCCCCCAGGCCCCCAGGATGGTGGGGACAGGTCCTCGGCATCTGAGGCCCGGCAGGATGCTTACTTCTGACCTCTATCTCGGGGCTGGACTGCATGGCCTCCCTCTTTTTTCCTCAGTCAAGAGCAGGCCCGGCTTGGGGTGCTGCCCCAAGCTTCTTGGGCACGTCACTCTTTCTGGGGAAAGCGGTTTGGCTCCCCATCTCCTTGCCAGCTGCTGATCCCTACACAGCTGGGACAGTGAGTGCACGGGGCAGCTGCCTTTCCTCGGGGTAGCCGTGAACAAATCTGGAGCCCCCTCACCTCCAGTTGGGCCCAGCTGGGGTTTCTGTCACTCCTGCCCCAGTTCCCTCTGGGGTCCTTCCCAGGTGCAGTCCTGATTGGCCTTTTGTCACCTCAGGGGTGACTTGGCGATGGGAATCAGCAGTTTTCAGATTCTTACACCAGTTGCTCCCCTTATCCGTGAGTGGAGCTGGGTTCCTTTTTCCCTTCTTCAGCTCTGCTGGTCTCCCCCTCTTCGTGCCTGGGGGCCGAGGCTCTCCTCGCTCTACTCTGGACATCTCTGTGTTGTAACTATGTACAGAGGACCTGGTGGGTCCAGGGTGGAGGTGTTTGCTCTACCTTCTGTCCTTTAGTTCTCCTTCCACAATGTTCTTGCACTCATTTATTTAAGGGGACATGCACTGGAACAGGCCATGTTCCCGGGACCTCTTCCCACCCGCCATCCTCCTTGCTCTCTTTCCTCTTCACCCACCTTCCTGTGTATTCTCAGGCTTCTGCTTTGTCTCCACCAGGGTCCCCACCTTTCACCTTGTTCCCCCTCCAGGCCCTATCTGGGGAAGGGGTCTTCCCTTGAGCTCCAGGGGGTGGAACCCAATGTTTACATTCTCTTCTCTCTCTGCTCCCACCCTGTGCGGCGCTTTGAGGAACCAGAAAAGAACCTGCTGTTGTACCTGGGCCTGTCTCCTGCTTTGTTATTTGATGATGGGGGTTAGAATAAGGACTGGGCAGGGGGTGGGAAACAATGGAGCAGGCCGGGATCTGGGTGTCTCCTGAGGCAGTTGGCTGGTCTTGGCAGGTAGGTACCTCTTGGCCTTTGGTCCATCTTTCAGTCACTCATCAACAGCTGTTGAGCTCCTGCTGCTCCTCTGTCTGGGATCTGCTGCTTCCGTTGGCACTGGCCTGGGGCCTTCTACGTACCACCTGCAACACCCGGATCTCCTTCCCAAAGTGCTCGTGCAACTCCTGGAAGCTGGAGGGGGTACTGAGGGTGCCTAGGAAGCCGCAGTCCTCTGGGGGTGAGCTGGGCTCCTGGCCAGCTGCCTGGCACAGCTCCCGGTACCGGGCCTCCAGGGGGGGCAGTAGCACCACCAGCTGCCTCCAGCTCGCCCCAGCCAGCGCCCACAGCCAGGCTCCCAGCTCTTCCTGGTTTTCTGCCGCCAGCTTGTAGGCCCGCCCACCTGTGCCCTCAGCCCTGGGGGTCAGGATGGTGAAGGCATAGGGTTCTGTGGCCCCAAGGCGCGGCTCCACCTGGCAGTTTTCCAAGAGAATGAGGCCCAGGGGGGTGTGGTCCGCCTGGTTCTCCAGGTAGAAGAGGAGGTTTCCCCGGAGGATGAACCAGCGGCGTTGATAGCTGGTATTTCGGGTTCCCTTCTTCAGCAAGATGCCCTCCCGGTCTGGAGCCTGTGTTCTGCATCCACGGAAGAAACTGAGCACGGACTTTTGGTGCAGTTTCATGGTAGTCCAAGCGGGGAGTAAACCTTGGGGGGCAGGAGAGAGGAGGGTTGGTCCTAGCCCAGTGGGATTTAAGACTGTCCTCAAGAGGTAGCGGTCTTGTCCCCACAGCACTGGGACCCACACCTCCCACCTCCAGCTCTGCCCCTTGGGCCAGTTTACAGACCCTGGGCAGGGGCCGCTGGCCTGGGCCCCTATTTGCCTGCGGCTGTGGTTCGAGAGAGGCACCGTTGCCCTTTTCCAGGCCTACCTGAGATGAGGACACAAGAGACTTCTGGCCAGGGTACCGGGCACAGGTATCACCGTCACCTTTCCGGTGATGGCTCTTCCCACCTCAGAAACCGGCAACTCGCCCAAGGGATAGGCGTGGGGTAAATGACTTCCCCCGGGTCCTAAAGAGAGCTGGGTTCGGCAAATGCTCCCAGAGCCACCCGGGGCCTCCAGGGGGGCCATCGGAACCCGGCCTCTGCTCAGGGAGAAGAGCAAGGCCGCACCTAGGAGTAGGAGAGGACACATCTGGACGCTGAATGGAAAAGCAGGATTCCCAAGGAGATGGTGAGGGGCGCAAAGCTCTTGGCCAACCCTGGGGAAGGGTGACTCTACCCTGGAAAGGGAAACAGGCCGAAACCCACTGTCCCACTCTGGTCCTCCATCATGGTCCCGGGCGCCCCTTTAAGTAGAGTGCGCTCCACTTTCTCCCCAGAGCCTCTAACTGCTGTAGGGGGGAGTCGAAACCGCATCCGGCCATCCTTCTCGTCTGATCAGGGTCTAAGCGTTCATACGTCCCCTATTCTCGCCATTGTCGCCCCACGCTGCTCACGTCACTCTGGGCAGGGCGGGGCGGTCTTTCCCGCTCACGGCGCACTTCCGCCCGTTTCTCCACTTAGTCCTCTAACCCGAGTGAAGCCACTTCCGGCTTTCTCTGGCGCCTTCCGCAGTTCTCTTCCGGGTGATGGCGGCCGGTGCCCCGGACGTAGCCCTGGTGAAAGCCTCTCTCTTTTTCTTTCCCCTCAGCCTCCCGTAGGTCCTTAGGTGAGCGCGCGCTGGTGGGGCTCCTCGAATCCCCGCGGTTCTGCCGCCACTCTGACTTGTATAGTTAGCCCGGGACAGTTGGGGTTTACCCCGCGGAGTTGGGAGTTCGGCGCGGGGAGGAGGGGGGCGGCCAGGACGCCAGGTCCTGGGTCCGCCCGGGCTCCGCGGGCTCTGAGGGAGCTGGGGTGTAGGAGCGGGTGTCAGCCCGGGAGCCCCGTCGCATCCAGGACTGCGGGGGCCAGGAATGGGTGGTGCGTGTGGGGGGAGCCTGTCTCCTTTCGTCAAGGGTGGGGGGTGCCCGTGGGAAGCCCTTCCGCGCGTCCGCGTCTCCGGCCTGTCTCCAGCAACTCTTTTGGACCAAACCAAGTCCCGGGGGCCTCCTGGCCGCCAACTTCCCTTTCGGCCCCTGATTCTGTGCTCCCTCTCCTCCCAAGCTGGATCTAGTGCGTACCAGGTGATAATTTGTTGTGCTGGGGGCCCTTCGGCGGTGAGTAGCCTCGCCCAGTTCCCTTAATCTGCACCCTTTCACCTCGGCTCAGCTTGGGGAAGGCCCCTCTGTGCAGTCATGCCAAAGAGGAAAGTGACCTTCCAAGGCGTAGGAGATGAGGATGATGAGGATGAAATCAGTGTCCCCAAGAAGAAGGTGAGGGGGCCAGACTCCTGCATTGTGGGGAGGAGTGAGGGGAGGGAAAAGGAACTAGAAGCTAGAAGAGAAAGAAAGCCCGTGGGGACAAAGAACGCGTAGAAAGGGCTAGCTTTTCCATGTTCTCTGGGAAATGGGTTTGGAGAATTTTCAGCCTGAGAAGGCTTTGGAGAAAAACCTACCTAAAGTATTTTGAGGAATCACCAGTAACCTGCCTCTCTCAACTTGCTGGCTCCTCCTCACAGCTGGTGGATCCAGTGACGGCGGCAGGGGGTCCTGGGAGCCGCTTCAAAGGCAAACACTCTTTGGACAGCGATGAGGAGGATGATGATGATGAGGGGTCCAGCAAATATGACATCCTGGCCTCAGAGGATGTGGAAGGTGAGCTAAACCCAAGAACTGAGGCTGCTGGAGGAACAGATAGGGCTTCAGGGGATGTGGGGCAAGGAAGGCTTTTGTCTCTTTTTGCTTGCTCAGCGTGGGACACCTGTGTGTTTGGTGCAGGTCAGGAAGCAGCCACACTCCCCAGTGAGGGAGGTGTGCGGATCACACCCTTCAACCTGCAGGAAGAGATGGAGGAGGGCCACTTTGATGCCGATGGCAACTACTTCCTGAACCGGGATGCTCAGATCCGAGACAGCTGGCTGGACAACATTGACTGGGTGTGGCCCAGGGGTTGACATGGTTGGGAGCCTGGAGGCAGCAAGTGCTGGGCTTGGGCCTTGCTCACCGTTTGTTGGAGATAACACCCCCCTGTTTTCATATCATAGGTGAAGATCAGGGAGCGACCACCTGATCAGCGCCCGCCGTCAGACTCAGAGGAAGAGGACAGCCTGGGCCAGACACCAATGAGTGCCCAAGCTCTCCTGGAGGGCCTTCTGGAGCTGCTCTTGCCAAGAGAGACAGTCGCTGGGGCACTGAGGCGTCTGGGGGCCCGAGGAGGAGGAGGAGGCAAAGGGGGCAGCAAGGGGGCTGGGCGGCCTAGTTCCCCCCAGCGCTTGGATCGGCTCTCTGGGTTGGCTGACCAGATGGTGGCCCGGGGCAACCTTGGTGTATATCAGGAGACAAGAGAACGGTTAGCCCTGCGGCTGAAGGGGTTGGGGTCCCGGACCCAGGGACACCCTGAGCCCACACCCCCACCCTCTCTGGACATGTTTGCTGAGGAAGTGGCAGAGGGGGAGCTGGAGACCCCAACCCCTACCCAGAAGGGAGGTAAGATTGGAAAGCAGAGGAGGGGTGATGGGGGCAGGGGGCAGGGCACTTGAGGCCCAGATGGCTTTGCCTGTTGTTTTAGAAGCAGAGTTGCCAGGAGATGGTCTGGTGGACGTGATGTGGGAATATAAGTGGGAGAACACGGGAGATGCTGAGCTGTACGGGCCCTTCACCAGCACCCAGATGCAGGTAAGCCCCTTCCTGCTTCCTTCTGCCGCTGCTCTCCGTCCTCCCACCCATATCAGACCTTTCCTAGCTCTGCTCTCTTTTTTTACTGCAGACCTGGGTGAACGAAGGCTACTTCGCAGATGGTGTTTATTGCCGGAAGCTGGACCCTCCCGGTGGACAGTTCTATAACTCCAAACGCATTGACTTTGACCTCTATACCTGAGCCTGCCGAGGGCCCAGTTTGACGTTCTCTTCTTTCCTGGACTCTCTGGAGGAGGCCCCAGCTGCCTCAGGCAGTGAGGATTTTGGGAGCCATTTTTCATTCAGTTTTCCTTTCCCAATAAAAGCCTTTAGTTGTATATTAGGGCCTTGGCTATGCTGATGGGCAGAAGCCAAGGCCCTTCCTAGCCCCTTTGGACTCGCCTCATGAGTGTTTCCTCATGAAGTTCCTTCTTGGAACTTTCTGGTCACTTGAACCACCTCACCTTTGGTTACCACTCCTGGGGCAGAGCCAGGGTTCCCAGGTGGCCTGTGGCTGCCCCACCTGGACTGCTCACCATCTAAAAAATCCCTTTGCTCACATGCTGTTCTCCAGTATTTTCGGAGCAGGCTTCCTGTTTTGCTCTTCTTAGGTCTTCAGCTTTTAGAACCTCAGAGTCTTTGCAGCCAGTATAAGATAGAGCACCAGAAGTGGAGATTTTAGGCCTCGAAGGGCGAGGACAATCTGTTGGGGGTGAGTAGGAGGCCTGGTATCCACTGGCTCCCCAGGGGTCTCAAGCTCCTTGGGGGGAAGGGCAAACTCAAGGCCCCTCAGGGCCACCTGGGCCAACCACTGAACAGACCCAATAGGCTTCTCTCCCAGACCTTTCTTGGCACCTTTGAGGCCCTGAAGTTTCCATTTCCTGGGGTCTCACAGTGTGCGTGGTACGGGGCTAGTGCCTTGAAGGAACTGGGCTAACTAGGAGGTCGATCCTCTTCCAGAAATTGAGCTTCTGGGGAATGGGGTCGGGAGGGAGCCAGGCAGGTACAGTTGGACCCAACACCTCCCACCTCTCACCAGTGCTGCCTTACGCCTCTTCTCTTGCACCGGGTGAGGTTGAACCCCCCACTTTTCTACCTCGGCTGTCCATCTGGAGTCTCGGGGGAGCTGTAAAATTACTCCTCGGATTCTGAATGAATTGATCTAGGTAGCGGCGTGGTGGTTGGGGTTTTTGAAAGCTCCTGGGGGATTCCAGTGTGCGGGCAGGTGCAGAACCACCGAGCCTGACTCCTGTGACTCGGTTATGCCTAGAACAAGGGGCCACTCACCGGATCCCGCGGTGGTAGCAGAGCTGAGCACGTGTGGCCACGGCTCTGCTGGAGTCTGGTGCGGGATTGCTGAGCACCAGAGCCCCGGGTGGAAGGGGCCGGGCTGGGAAGCAGGAAGACCGGGACAGGGTGGGGATACTTGGTGCCCCAGCGAGGGCTCCAGCTTCTGTAATAATTGGGTCCATGCAGACTTGGTGTTCATGGACTCCAGGATGCCTTCGATTATAACAAGTCTTTTTCTGTCCTTAAGAAAGAAACCCCTGCCAATTACATTTACAAGAGGTCATTGATTAAAATGCATCCTCATTGCAGAAACGTTCAGAAGTGAAAAGCAATACAGCGGTCCCCTTTATAACCCCAATGACTAACCATGGCAGTTGCTTAGTGTTTGGTGAATAGATGAAGGCCAAGGGCACAGTGCCCTTGGATATGCCATTGGTACCTCAGGCTCCGCCTGTCCAGAGCTGACCCTATCTCCCCCTCACAGCATCGTCCTGTGTTCACCGTTTTTTCGTTTGTTTTTGTTTTTGAAGTTTTTGAGAGAGAGAGCTGGGTAGGGAGGGGCAAAGGGAGGAGGAGAGAGAGAATCTTAAACAGGCTGCACGCCCAGTACGGATCCTGATGCAGAGCCCCCGACAGT